AGGTTTGGTTCAACCTCTTCTTTTTTTAAGCCAGATGACCCAGCAGGGTGGCCTGCAGAAGGGAGGGACGGAGTGAAACCTGAACCCCTCCTGCAAAGGGGTTCAGTGGCAACCTTTCTCCCTTTGCCAGCCTGCAGAGCCCATCATTATTCTGGCGCCAGTGCCAGCTCCCAAAGGAAGCCTGGGGCCGGGTGGGAGGAGAGGGGCAGAAAAGGGGGCCTCAGGAAGGAGACCCAGCTCACCCCAGACCCAGGAGGCTCTTCCTACAGGCAGCCAAGACAAGGATCCCCGTCATTGCCCCGGGAAAGGGCAGCCTCCCTGCTTCTCTGCCAGCTCCATGCTAGCTTTAAGGGGGTGCTACAAACGAGGAGCACCAGGGAAGCCGGCCACACCTGCCAATGAAGCCAAAGGGCAGAGAGGTCAGCCTCGGTCGAGTTAGTCTGGACTCCGCTCCCTCGGCAGAAAGAAGCAGTGGCCGATGGGGCCTAACAGGAGAAAGACCGGCTGGCGAAGAGGTGCCATCCCAGCTCGCTCCTCAGCCCAAGACGCTGTCGTTGAAAGCCAGGCAGACGACCGCCTTCTGATGCCCGCTGTATTCTCTCTTGATCTCCCCCGTCTCCACACACCAGAGCCTGGCCAAGTTGTCTGACGAGGCTGCAGGGCGGGGGGGAAACAGAGAGTTCAGGGGAGCAGCACCAAACCCCGGAAAGGAGGGACAGGTAGCTAAAGGCTGGCTCTCCAAATTAGACAACTTTTAAGACTTGTGGACTTCGACTCCCAGAATTCGGCCAGTCGGTTCAACTACCGGTTTGGTGAATCAGATATAAATTTAACATCCGGTTCATGCGAACCGGTCCGAACCAGCTGAATCCCACCCCGAGAGACCAGTTCATGGCTTTTGCCTCTACCACAGGAGCAAAATACGGGGCTGGCCAGTGAACTGGTCCTTCTTTCCCTTTTGAAAAATATGGGATGATATAGGCAGTCCTCGACTTACAACCATTCGTTTTGTGACCATTTGAAGTTGTCCGACAGCCCTGGAAAAGGTGACCTGTGACCATTTCCCACACTTACGACTGTTGCGGCATCCCCATGGTCGCATGATCGAAATTCCCACACTTGGCAAACTGGCTCATAGTTATGACGGTCGCAGTGTCCCAGAATCACATGATCTCCATTTGAGACCTTCAGACAAGCCAAGTCAATGGGGAAGGCAGATTCACTTAACAACCGTGTTACTAATCGGACAACTGCAGTGTTACTAATCGGACAACTTCACTCAACGGCCATGGCAAGGAAAGTAATAAAACGGGACAAAAGTCACTGTTAAAACCGCTGTCTCACTAAGCAACAAATTCTGGGCTCAATTGTGGCCGTAAGCCGAGGACTACCTATACCGCTCTTAGGGAGAACAGGTGTGTTCAAGAGGCTATTGAAGTGGCATCTATTATTATTTTAGGCAAAAGGAGAAAGGAAGAGGATGTGTCAGCTCTTCCCTGCTCCAGGATGGCCTCTTCGAGAGCAGCTTCCTTGGCCAGGTGAGCCTGTGGGCTCCACTCCTCTCACCTGTGACAATGTACTGGGAATCCCCCGAAAAGGCACAGTCCCACATCCAGCCACGGGAGGTCTCTCCGGGGTTGTTGCTCTTGATGCTCAGCTCCGTCATCAGCGAGAAGTTGGAGGTCCTCCATATTTTGCACGTCTGGTCAGCAGAGCAAGTGGCCAAAAGCCTGGAGAAAGGGAGAGAAAGCCAACGAGGTGAAGGCAGGAGCCCCACAGATCCGGCCCATTACTCCAAATTGGAACAGGTTAGCCCCTTCTCTGGCCTTTATTTGAGGAACTGGGGAGTATCTTCCCACCTCTTTGGAAGAAAGACGGTTCAAGGTGGGGCTCAAGACTGGACAGACCAAGAATTGGCAAAGAAGATGGAAGGAGCTGCTAGATAAGGCCTGATCTAGCAGCCTCCCCCAAATTCAGCGTAGATCTCTGTCTCCTAATATGGGCAAGGCTTGGGTTTTTTCCTCAAATATCTCCTTTGGAAGGACCTACCTGTCTCCCCGTGTCCCTGACCTCCTCTATCTGCCAGCTGGTTCACCACTTGAGGCTGGACTGGGCAGGGCAGGAAAGAGGGACTCCCTGCTCCCCAACCAGCTATGACTGATTTGGCTTTCAGAGCCGCTTTTACAGCAGTGTAGTCTGAAGTGCAGCAGGACTTGGACAAGAGGGTGCCAGGAGATGCCAGGCCCACTGCAAGAGGGAAATGCCACCCAGTCACGACCGTAGCTCAGTCCACATGTGGCAGGCCAACACTATTCCCCTTGCCCAAAGCCAGTTTGGTCTGCCCAAGAGGGAAGATCCCTGTTTTTCCAGGGCCAAGAAAACCAAGCAACCTCACCAACTACTCACGTGGAGTCTGGGCTGAATTTGCACTGGAGCGCATAGCGGTTGTGTGCAGGGATCTTGGTCTTGGGGATGAGCTGGGTGACCTCGTCTCCAATGCCCCCCGTGAGATTCCACACGTAACAGTTGCCCTGCAAGAGGAGAGATGGCTGTGTTGTGGTTCACTGGCAGCGGAATCGGACAGTGGGGAAGAACGGGGACCAGTCCGGGAGTCTGGAGAGGACTCAGACAAGGGTCCTGCGTCCGATGCAGGGATGGGGCCAGGACCACCTGGGAGTGGGGTGCTGATTCCAGAGCCTCCGGAGTCTGGCAGCAGCGAGGCAGAGGAACAGGGGGAGCCTGTTCCCAGAGCACGTATGTGCAGAGCCGCTAGAAGGCAAGAGCAGCTGAAACAAAAGGGGCAACTCAGGAGTAAGGCTGGGAGGTGATTGCCCCTCCCCTAAGGTATAAAGGAAGTGCAAAGGTAGAGAAACCTTTGCAGGAAGCAAAGTCGTTCACTCTGTTTGGATTAAACCTTTAAGCTCTGTGTGGACTTTGTACTTCGGTTGGTTTTTTTTATTCATTTGGCACTTTAGTTGTTGACAGCCATTCAAAGGAGAGAAAGGTGGGTGCTTATCTCGAGGGACTGTTTGGGACTTATTACAGGCTGGGAATAAACATAATTCCCAGCGTTGAAATAAAACAAGAGTTGTTTTAACTAAGCGTGTGCTTAATTAGTCTCAGGAAGCCTTGGTCAGCACAGGCTGAAAGCACCTGGCCCGTTGGCTCCGTGCCACATTGGAGACTAACTGAGGAACTCGGTGAGTCCAGGGCAGGCTGTCCTTACCGAACTGTTGACCGCAGCCATGTAGCTGGCATCCGGATCAATATGTACTGCGTTGACCGAGACTTCCGGCTCTGGGATCAGCTGCTCGTTGTGGTCCGTTTTCAAGTCCCAGATGTGGATGGCACCGCTCTGGTCTCCGACAATGAGCTCGGCCTAGGAGGAGACAAAGCAGAGGAGAGTTTGGCCCTTCCTGCACCCTCTTCCCCCCATGCAGCACGAGAGCAGGGGGCCCTGCCTCAGATACCTGATTGGGATGCAAGCAGACACAGTTGATGGGCGCGTTCACCTGGAAAATGCGCTGACACTGAAGATTGCGTGACCTAGGAAGAGACAAACAACGTGACAGGGGTGAGCCAAGGGACTGGTGGGGCTTCTTGCACTCCAGGGACCATCCAAAGAGCCCAACAGCGATGGCCATGATGTTGTCGAAGACTACTCTAGCATAGCCATCCCCGCCTTCCTTAAACGGCTGTTGTTTCTTAAAAAATTCATTACTGGGCCTTCTCTTCCAGAACAGGCTGGGACTCAGGAAATGTCATGTCCCTGTCAGAGTCTGAATCTGAGGAGGAAGCCGGACAGCTGACAGGGAGCGGGAGTGTGGCTCCGTTGGCTGTGGAGGAAACTGGGGGAGGGCAAAGTCCAGCTGGGCAGAGCAGGAGAAAGGTAGAACAAGGGAGAGGGAGTTCAGAGGAAGTCCCAGGCCCACCCCCTCTTCATCCTACGACACGCAGGGAGGAACGGAGAAGGGAGAAACGTGGGTTGCATGGCTTATGGGGGAGGAAAGAGCCCTGATTCCCTTCATTAGCCACACCTGGGATGAAAGTTTATAAGAACTGATGCTGACTGTGGCAGCTGCTGGCAGCAAACGTGACTTTCTCTTGTGTTGTCATTGCTTATCTGTGTTCCTGGCATCTTCCCAACCATGTGAGTTTTGCCGTGCCTTCAAGTCTGAAATTCCTGCTCCTGCCCTGCCAAACTGCCCTGCCAAACCTTAGTTTGGCTTGTTTGGACTTAAAGTTACAGTTTGTGTTGACCATGTTTTGGACTTAATTTTCTGCAGCCAAAGGCTGTTTTGGGAGAGTTTTTCTCCAGCCAGAAGGTAACCTGGATATCGGGGGGCAAAGTTGGAGATAATAAAGGGACTATTATTGCTTATCTGACAGGGTTGCCTTTGTGCCACACCCCAGGTCATCACAGGAAAGACCTTTTCAGCTGCAGATGCTGGATGGCAAATGCCTTTGTCAGAAAAAGTACAGACATCTTTAAGGGGATACCAGAGGGTCTAGTTCAGAGGTGTCCGTCCTTGGTGACTTTAAGACTTGTGGACTTCAACTCCCAATTCACCCCTGCTTTTAGCTGCTTGTGCTTCAGTAGGGTATCTGTCCCTTCCGGGGAAACCTTGAAGCATTCAGGCCCTCAAAATTTCCAAGGCGTATTTTTCAGTCCTACACAAGGAACAGGAGTTTACTCCTTCCTTCTTCATCCCTTCACTTCCTCCCCCTTTTCACATCACGTTGAGAAACTCCCGATTCAGAGCAGCATCTCACCCCACCGGTTTCAAAGTTGCCCGGCCTCCCTTCAGACTCTGACTGACGGTGGGATGCACAGGCCACCCTGGCCAGGACACCCAACTCAAGCTGAAACTCTGTCTGTGCTGGCACTCAGGGTGCCTCGTGATGTCTACAGTGCCCTTGGAGGGTTTCAACGGTCCTCTTTAAATGGTGAGAATGACCCAACTTTAACCAGGTAGCAAAATCTTACAAGATCTCTTAAACTGTTAAGATCTCACAGTTTGAGGCATTTGATTTTGTAAATCATCATTTGGTCAGTTTTACTCCTTAACGCTTAACCCATTTCCTGCCATGTGCAAAGGTGCCCATCATGTGGGCACAATGAGTGTCTGATTCCTCCCCAGTTGCCCCCTTTCTATGTCTGCCTATTCAGGGTCAATCTTGGGCTTCCCCTAAAACAGGGGTCTTCAAACTTTTTAAACAGGGGGCCAATTCACAGTCCCTCAGACTGTTGAGGGGGCCAGACCAGCTGGGTGGGCATGGCTAAGTGGTCCTGTGACTGGGTGGGCGTGACCAATTTAGCAGTCCATTAAACAATACACACAAATTAAACTTTAATTTGTTATGCTCCTGGTGGTGGAAAGCAGGTTAGTGAAGGGATGTAGCTGCCTTGGGTGGGTGGGGTGAGGGACTTGTGTGTGTGTGTGTGTGTGTGTGTGTTTTTCTCTCTCTCTCCCTCCCTCCCTCCCTCTCTGGAGGCTGGGGAGGCCAAAAACAGCCCCATTTTTGGCCTCCTCAGCCTCCAGAAGGTGGGTAGGGACTGGCAGGTAGGTGGGGTGATGTGGCCTCATGGTCTTGCATGGGCCAGATTAATGGCTTTGACAGGCCATATCTGGCCCATGGGCCCTAGTTTGAGGACCCCTGCCCTAAAAGGTACAAGGTCAACAATAAAAGCCCCACCGGAGGTCCCAGATGCGAGCCATGCAGTCCTCGCCCCCGGTGTACATCCACCGTCCGTCTTCGTGGAAGCCAACCGAGGTAATGTTCTTGCTCACCCCATCGTAGTTGATCACCGGGTTGGGGTTATTGGAGTTCAAGTCATACATGCGGATGTGCTGGTAACCTGGACAAGAGATACCAACTAGTTCATAGGGAGTCAAAGCAACAAAACAGATTTACACAATGGAGAAATAGCATCAGAGTCCTTCTGAACTCATAAAGGGATTGAAACAACTGCTCTCACCGACCCAGAGCAGGGGTCCCCAACCCGCAACCAGGTACTGGGCCCATTCAGAACTGGAAACCTTGGGGACCACTGGCTCAGAGTACAAGAGGAGTCGAACCACCTACCATAGTCAGAGGACTATGATAAAGGGACAGCATATTTAGTTTTGCATGTATTGACAGCTGCAATTGGAAAAATGAGAACACTCCATCAGATGGATGGATGAATTCAGAAAATACTAGACTGTGCAGAGATGGATAGACATTAAAAATAAAGGACAAAGGAGACACAGAATATTACTTAACATGGAATAGATTTTACAAGTGGTTAGAAATAAGAGGTAGAAATTAGATTACTGTTATGCATGAATTAAATATAAAGAGGGTTGATAATTATAAACATTATAATCAACAGAATTATAAAGAGAAATTTAGTTAAAATTATTCTGTTGCACTATTATTATTGTTATATATATAT